GTATGCGGGTCAGACAGGATTGGCCTGCATGTGGTATTGTATACGGGATTCAAAACTGACATCGTCTGGGCCGGATTGATACGCTGCATGAGACTATTCGCGTCAAAGTGACCACACGACAGGAACCCCAGATGCGATCGGCCACAGCACGCTTCGAGCTCAGCCTAGGAGTGGGGAAGGGAGGTACGACCAAACTACTAGTAGACAGTGAATACTGAGGGTTCCGCCGTGAGCGTCGACAGACCGCATGAGGTCGGAATGCGGGAGATGACATCAAAAACCGCGAAAATTGTCGCTATGGGGTGGAAGGATAGCGATGGATTTAGAAACCAAGGCAAAACAGGGGTTTCTAATGATATAATTAAGAGTTACCACTTAATCTACCACTAAATCCCAGGAGGACCCTTCTCGAAGTCAAGAATCTGAGTGTTCGGGAATGAGACCGTTAACAGTGCCTTTATGCTTTCCGGTGTAAGATGGTTGCGTAATTTCGACTTGAATACCAGTAACTTAGGCGATAATCTAATTCTAGGCGGAAGATTATTCCAAAGGAAGACATATTTGGAAGCAAAGAAGAGGGAGCGCTTAGATGTAGTTCAAAGAGGCGGCGGAATCACCATGTAGGAGTTGCGCGTGGTATAAGACCGATCTCTCAGAGTGAGAGTGTCAATAACGGAAGACTGGAGCTAGAGTTGATGCGAAAAAGGAAGCAAAGGCCAGCTTCGAGTCTTCTAAACCACAAAAACTTAATGTTCGCCAGCTGACATCTCTGAGTATGAGAAATACCAGGCGAAGCATGAGATAACACTTTCCGGGTGAAAACTCTTTGAACATTTTCGGTCTTATAGCGGTCAGAGTTATTCATTAAACCGAAGAAAGGACAGCAATATTCGAGGACTGGAAGAACAAACATTTGATAAAGTCTTGGCTTCATATCCGGAAGGAAGAAATTGTGCGATATGAATCCACGTATCTGCGCGGCTTTGGCAGAGACTCTATCTGCATGAGGTGATAAACCAAGCTTATTTGTATAACTTAGACCTAGGTCCTTTATGGTGAGGCATTCTGAGAGTGGGCACTACAAAAAAATAATAAGAGGTCAAGACGCACTGCCATACGAGTTCCGCCTAAATAACCTTTATCTCCAACCTCTGAGTTATAAACAGTCGCTCGGAGACTCGATGCAAACCTTCCGTATCGTTCGTGGCTTGGACTGCGCTCTGCGCTGCGACGAATTTTCCCAACTCGTCACTGCAACTAACCTTCGGGGACATGCGTTCAAACTACGTGTGCCCAAGGGTAGATTGAATGTGAGAAATTATTTTTCCCCAACCATGTCGTGGAACCGTTCAATAACCCACCCGAAACGATTGTTGTGTCCCATTCTGTGGAGCCGTTTAAACGTCGACTTGACAGACCCATGCTGCAGCAACAAGCGAACTATGCGACTTTGCACCCATAAAACCAGTAACCTATGTGAATCAATGTCTGCATACAATTAGTGCTGTAATTTCTTAACATTTTTGCTTATGTTCTCGATTCTTTTATGTACAAATAGGGTGTCAAAAGGCGTAAGTCTGTGCTCCTCAAATACACTGACAATGACTGACTGAAGCTGGGCGCAAGACCGCATTACTGCTTCCCTCCGTTGGTAACTGCGAATGCCTCTGAGACAGCTCTATTGTCCTAGACGCGCGCCATCATGCCATTGTGGAGCTGACGCACCATCTGAGTAAAACGTTTTGGACAGCCGAATTTGTACACGATTTTTCACAGTCCGTAACGATTCACCGTGTCAAAGGCTTTCCTCAGATCCACGAATGTAGAGTACAGGTGGGTCCACCTCTCCTGACACTCCTCCTTCAGTTGGCAGGCGGCAAAGATCATGTCCGTGGTCCCACGATGACGGCGGAAGCCGCACTGGCTTTCCAGCAGAAAACCCTGTTCCAGAAAATTATTCAGGCGGTTGAGAAGGATGCGAGGGAAAATTTTCCCGGCGATGTTGAGCACGGAGAGGCCTCAATGGTCGTTGCAGATTTGACGGTTTCCTTTCTGTTTGTATAGATGCACGAGTGCAGCATCCTTGAAATCCTGCGAGACTTCTCCTTGACGCCACATCTCCTGTAAGAGCGCCGGCAGATGATTCATAAGTTGGGAGCCCCCGTGGTTGTAGATCTCAGCAGGGGTCGCATCCGATCTGGGTGCTTTCCCGCTGGAGTGCTGCTGCACGGCCCTGATGGTATCGTGGAGGGTTGACGGGAGGTCGAGGTAAGCGTTGTTCTCCACTTGCGGCAGACAGGCGCTAGCGACATAGGAGATGGTGGATGGACGGTTGAGGCTGCCCCAGAAGTGCTCGGCCCATTGCTGTAGAATTTGTACCTTCATGGTAAGAAGGGTACTGCCGTCGGCGCTGAGAAGGGATGTAGTACTTTTGGTTGTCGAACCGTAGAAAGTTTTTATTGCGAAGATGTTCTTCCTTTCGTTGCGGTCCGCGTACGCTTGAATGTCCTTCTCCTTGTGAGCCGTCCACGTGCCCTGCATCTCACGGAACCGCTGTTGCACAAGGCGGCGACTACGGTAGAAATCAGCTTTGTTGTCGCCAGGGGAGCAGTGGACGTAGGCTTGGTGCAGGCGGTTCTTCACGGCGAGCAGGTTGTTGGTGGCGACATCGTTGTCATCAAACCAGTCCTGGCGCTGACGATCTGTGCGAGCAAGGACAACCAGGACTGTCTCCTGGACTGCATCCCGCAGTTGAGACTATCGGATCTCCACGGAGGCGTTCTCGTCAGCGGCAGCGACGGCAATGGCGACATCAGTGACTTGTAAGTTGTCTAGCCGTTGGGCCAGTTCGTTGCTGAAATGGAGATGTTGATCAGGCAGAGACAGCGGGGCATTATTCAGCTTACCCGGGAGTCGCTTACATTGAGGTCTCCTGCGATGCTGTAGGCGAATCCGCATCCGCGAGATGATGAGGTGATGGTCGGTCTGTAGCGACTAATCGGTGATTGTGTACACTCAGTACGCCAGAACTTCAGGCCATATCCCAAGTTGTTAGAAGCAGGACGCAAGTTGAAGACGAAAATGATTTTTTCGTTCTGTACAGAATAATTAAGGGAAGGTAGCAACCGGACGAGGATGCGTCCGGCGCCGCGGAGGCGGCGTCCGCGAGA